TTACTTACATCAGCACCGGGTTCCGAAGGGATAACGTGGGGTCTACGCATACAGTGCTCCGAGTTCCACCTATCAGATATAAAAGTGGACTTCAAGAGCGGATGTGAACAAAACACGATACATTTCAAATACTCTTTAAGACTACTACAAACTGCATTCAATCTACACTGTTCACGTGGCTGAGTCGCATTTCGGAAATACTACAAACATATGCTCGTATCACGCTTGTGCAGTATTTACAACTCCAGTTCATGCCCTTTGAAAATTCAACTAAGTCTAAAGCTTGGGTTTCCTCGGGTAGCGGTACCGTAATCAAGCGGACGTAATATGACGGTGAATGACGTCACTAAAACGTTGCCATGGAAACAAAGGAACATGGTTTCCATGACAAAGTTTTAGTGAAGTCATTCACCGTCATATTACGGCCGCTTGATTACGGTACCGCTACCCGAGGAAACCCAAGCTTTACAGCGTCTAATGCAAGTGCGCGTCGCCTGTGTGCACTACACACAAACATACACTGGCTTTTATACATACGACGCGGACTTTGGGGCTGTTTTGTCAAATGATGCGTCGAGGGCGTTTGATAATAACCGCCATCTGTCAGAGGCTGCGAGTTCGTCAACCGTAAAGAATTTACAACAGCATGTGGATACTCGACGGTTATCCAAAATTGATGACAATTCTTTACTGCCGCTTCCACCTCAAGTAACTCTTAAGTCTAATACAGAGAGGATTCCAAAAAGGACGTCACGGATGGTGACAGCTAAGCAAACTGCATAACAGCCATAACACTTTCCAATATTAGGCCTAATGAGGCCTGTTACGGATATTAAAAATCAAAATTCTACCGTAGTTTCAGACGTCTTCTGGAAAATCTTTCTCTTCTAGCTGACACGATCTTTTTAAAATCTCCTCAGAGCTTCCATCTTGTCAACGTTTTATTTCCCATTTCTTCTGTGTAGTTCTATAGGTTCAGATATTTGTGGAATTTGCGGTTCTCTCACGATTTCATTTATTTTACGTTCCAAAAGGATGTATCTTGCAGTCCTACTCATGACACGAATTTCTACTGATAACAGTCTTCTCTCAAGTTATTTTCATTCTCCGTGATTCACTGCCACAAGATAATGTTGAGCAATACAAGAGTCTTATAAATTCCAACTACATGACGCGGAAAGTTCCCGCAGTGCGAGGTTTTACTACGTACAGAATTCAGCGCAGTATATACAGATTGAAAGGTCACGTACAACGAAGATCGAGAAGTAATGAATTTTCCATGCCGACCTAAATGCCATTGTGTCACTATTACCTCCAAACATTGACCCTTTCAATGCTATGAGGGCGGTATCTCATTACGAAACGCAGCCTGCTTTTACTCTGATGAACTTCAGAATGTGGCAATATGATATAACATTTCTTTCTATCATCTCTTACATTCAAAGGCAAAAATGTATGGCCTTCCGACATAGATAATATAAACACAAAACACGCGACGGCTGTTCTAACCGAAAAACATCACAAACGTGATTACAAAAGTAGCGACGTACTAGATGGAAGGCCGGGATTCGATTCCCGACAGGGCAAGCAATTTTTCTCTTCTCCAAAGCCCACCCGCTATCCGGGGCTCTTTCCCGGGGTCACAGCGGTCGGGGGGTGAGGCTGACAACTCACTTCCATGCAGTGCCGAGGTCAAGAATGGTGGATCTATGCCTCCACCGTCTCAAATTCGTATGTCTTCTTGGCGTAGTGCGTAATTAATTAATTGCTTTACTTTTATTATTATTATTTATTATTATTAGTGGGGGTGGGTTTCCCCATGTACTTAGACCAGTTATTGGTCCATTGTGCGTCCCCTTTAATTTCTACTGTCGCTTTCATGTACCGGTACCGGTGCGTACTATCAGCCCCGCTCAGCCAACGAGGTCGGCCATCGGTACCTCGATACTTCCCCCATCTACCAGAGGCATTGGAAACTACTTGGGCGGGAAACTTGCTTAATAATTTTGCTCAGAGATCCCCTAGAGACATGAGGATCTTTTACGTGCCGTAAAGCTACGACACGGGACCCACGGCTTAAAGTCCCTCCCGGACGACTTGTCCCCTGAATTTTTTTGTCCTTAAAAATTCCACGACCTCCGCCGGGTTTGAACCAGCGTACCTTGAGTCATGAGGTGGGAACGTTACCTCTAGACTACGGAGGCCGCTTAATTGCTTTACTTACTAAATTAATTAAGTGCCGCGCCATAGCTCAAGCGGTTAGTCGCTGGCTTCCCACCGCGGCGGCCCGGGTTCGATCCCGGGTCTGGTCAAGTGGGATTTGTGGTGGAGAAAGTGGCGCTGGGGCAGGTTTCCTCGAAGTACTTCGGTTTCCCCTGCCGATCTTCTTTCCACCAATTACTCCACAATCACCCTCACCTATCATCTGGGGCTGGTACAATAGGACAGAAGTGGCCGCAGTACAAGGAACTTAGTCCCACCCCACTAGCAATAAAAACTAATTAATTAATTATACAACCAAAGACACACCATCCACAAATCTAAAGAGATCAGCAACAATGAATTCCACTTTATTTCTCATCAACGTCAGCATCTCGTGTTTCTTTGTTCACTGTACACGCCGAAAGTCCCCTTCTTTCATGTACAGCAAACGGTCGCCTGCTTGTGAATGGAGCTTGGTTGTGGGCTACGTTGCGAGAATGTGCAGTTTATCTACTGCACACCAGATGCCTCTGTTAGAACTCGACAGCTGCCTGTCACTATGTCTTTATCATATTCCACTACAGACATTCTGATTATAAAAGGTATATTTAAAGGCGTAGATAAAACAGGATGCTGCCAACTCTGCAAAGATTTCGAAACATTTTTATTACATTGCAGACGGACGCCAAAACCGCCATTTACTCGGAAACGGGCAGTAAATATCCCGCACGCAAGCAACAATATTCATCACATTTATACGTGGCGTGCAAGGCAGTGGGGCTATAACAAAACGTGAAGTCACGGATTGTGAAGGCTACCTGAAGGTCAGGGAACATGACAACAGTACCCGGGGCACGGGCTGCACAAATCGTGTAGACACGTATAATGAGCACGTGGTGAGGGCAGTGTCTCTCTGAATTCCAGAGTCAAGAGGCGCCGACATGGATATTAACATACGCTAATGAGGGCTGGGACAGCACTCAGCAGTGAAACTACAGCACACACAGATGAGCTGAGGGGAAGGCAGCTCAAGTTCCACGTAGTTTCCTTTATACCGGCAGGTCAAAGAGTCAAAAACCCAAAAAAAATTCACGTTTTGCACGGAAATGGCTGCGGTACATAATTCTAACGTACTCAGGGAATACTACCTTCTTGGATATAACGCCGTGCAGCCCGCTGAGAGCCAATCAGCGTTTCGAAAGAACATACCGTCTCCACCTTCAGGGTCGAATAAAGCCGAGATTCCTCGTTCTCATTTCTGTTAGAGGCTGAGTCGACTCCAAGGCCACAGTGCGGCTGGAAAGTCAATTCACAAATCCAATGACCTCATCGGGAATCGAAACCGCGACCTCCCAACTTTCAGCATAGTGCCTCAAATACGCTACCGCGTGCCCCAATCAGAAATTCACTGAACTATTTTTTACATACTCTGACGTCAGTGCTGGTGGGGATAGATCCCTCAAACCCTTATGAGACGGGCAACCCCTAATCGCGGAGAGGTAAACGTCCTATCTGATTAGGAAATGAAAACAACTCTCCCGGAGTCGACTAGATCGTGAGAAGGCTTTCTGGCCCCGTTCAACAAAATGGAATCGTTGTTTCCTTTGTAATGGCTCTGCGGGAATCTGCATTTCACTCCCACTGGGGAACGCGGTTCTCTGCGGGTCAGTACGGGGTCGGCACTTGTTGGGGTATTAGTGAATATTTTTTATTTCTACTGCCCACCTGGACGCCTTACAATAAAAAATTATGGTGCTGCATCACAGAGTCTTAACTGATCTCTAGCTCCGCAGCCATCTGTCAAACGTGATTAAATTTATTACAGAAAGATTTCATTAAAACATGGCCATCAGTTTGTGAAAATGTGGCTATAGTTTTGCGAGCACTGTTCTGCCAAAAAATTGCCATTAATTTAAGAAATTACCATAATTTTGGTAATACCCGGCCACAATTCCCACGACTTTCACTGAAACATTTCTCGGCTATTCTCCTAACCGAAAAAGAACATTACATAGCCTACTTCAGGTTCACGAGGACTGATACGTTATTTGGATTTTAGTACCATCGTACTAGTCTGAGAGAAACCTCCAAAAGCGTACACAACTGTATTTTTCATTGATCAGCTGAGACGTGTCGTAAATCACAAAGTTTTAAAACCCTACCGTACTTATGGAGACAGTACTGCATGTCAGAAGCTTATTTGAAAGTCACTGATAACGCCTGCGCAGAAGCAATCCCAGCTCAGCGGTGTCTGCCAAAACGCGTTTCGGTTCCATGGAGACGCGGACATCAGGCCGGCCTGGCCGATTCCATATCGGAAGCCAGACAATACAAATTCCGTTATATCTTATTTGGGGTGAGGGCTTCTTTCCTGGCTACAGGTTGTCCGTCCGTAACCACTCACACGGGCTGCGGTGTGGGGAGAGAACTAGGCGGAGCTCTTAGCGCGCTGGCCTTCGGTTGACAGGGGAGTTGCTACTGAAGAGAATGGAAGTCCTTGTCACCTACCTTTGATTTCCGCATAGTAAATTTTGCTGAAGTTCAAATTTAAAGTATTGCACACACGTTTAATGGAGTGTACTGTACTATACACGTGGAACTGAAACAGTCTATGTACTTCATTAAGCACCATGCCACGAAGGCATCTGCGAGCAGAAAGACACAGCCTCAAAGCCTTAACCTCGACACGAGGAAGAATTCTAGTTAAGAATTTCTGTTGTTCGTTTCCATGAAATGGAGTACATACATTACAGCCCAATTGATAAAATTTAAACATATATTAAATCCGCAGAACTTACCACGAGAATAAAGAAACGATTGTTTTGCAGCACACCAAGGCATCCAATCACAGTGACCAGGAATACAAGGCATCCTGCCACTATAAGCACCCATGCGGCCAGCTCGTACGTGGCGTTGGTAAGCAAGACAACATACTGATGCTTCTCAACCACGGTCCAGATTCCAACCCCGAACACTGCAATGCCGGATAACTGAAAATGGAACACAATCCGTCACGTAATGGCCGCTATACGTGAAACGAACTTCCAAATATTGTTATTTACACTTCGTTGCCTGTTTTTGTGCGGAACTCCACACCAAGCCAACATGCCATCTACATTTAAAAACTGTATACACAGTAATTTTCGGCCCATAAAGGCCTTGAACATCTGATATAGAGGGGATGCAAATTAGACGCGTTCAGTACAACAGTCTAACACCAGCAATACGGCTTGAGTACAACGATGGGACCTGGGAAAAACATGATGTTGTCTCCCCTCCCCTTATTTTTAAATAAAAAACGTTATAAATAGAAACCAGTATAACGGTAATACGAATATTACCAAAGTTAAAAGAACAGGTGAAGAATAAAAGCATTACTCTAAAAAGGTCTTAATTTAAAATAACTTTTATGAAGTTTTCCCTCGCACGTTTCCAACACTAAACACCATCATGAGGAGGAAATCCAACATTTTGAAGAAAGTACTTTCTATATATCAGTACTAAATGTATTTTTTTTTAGTTCGCTTAGTGGGGGGGTGGAGTCCAGCTGGATCCACTCGGCACGTCGGCCACTTTTTGGCCTACTGTACCTGCCCCAGGTGATTATGATGATGAATTTGATGGAATGAAGATTGGCAGGGGAAACCAAATTACTCAGAGAAAACCTGCCCCAGCGCCACTTTGTCCACCACAAATTCCACTTGACAAGATCCGGGCTCGAACCTGGGTCGCCGCGGTGGGAAGCCACCGACTAACCGCTTGAGCTATGGCGCGGCCTAGTAGTGAATGTAGGTTATTACTGCCACGTGTTTGAGTGACTATAAAAGGGTTTTGAATTGGTAATCGTATTTACTGAACACTTACAGCACAGGACGAAACTACAAATAATTATAGTGCTATGCCTAATTCATATACACTCTACAATTCACTACAGCACGCACAAAGTCTTCTTAGTATGCTACATCTTCATCGGCTGTTGCTTGGTAATGGCTTCCAAAGCCGTAGCTTCTTCAGCATCCGTACTTATGTCCTTACTGGCCGAGGACTGTCTCACAAGTCCCTCGTGGCTGGCGGCCACATCACACAAACCTCATACTCTTCTCACTGCGGTCCAAGTCTCTCGTATTCGCAGCTGCTTCCTGTTATATTGCCTCGGTACGGACCACACTAAAAGAATCGCTTCCAACAGTTCTGTTGCGTGCGTCTCTTATTGCCATTGTTTACAGAGCCATTATCTTGCAACGGCTGTTGTATACCTGCTTACTTGGCGGTCGTTTCCTAGTAACGGGTCTATATGATACATTATTATTAAATAACCGAAGCGATTTGTGCTTGTTGCGAATATTAAGAACAGGTAGTTAAAACCTTGCAAAATGAGTTAAGAGGTCACGTTGAATTGACAGAAGGATGTAGTGACGGCTTTCGTTAATGATCTCTAGCGCTGGCTGCACAGAATTTCAGAGTTCAAGGCCGTCCGCCAGTCCGTATATTCCAATGGAGAATGCGGTAGTGTTTGGGCTTGTAGTAGCGGCCTACTAGCGGCGCCTGGATGTCATAACGTTAATGGTCAGTTGTAAAGTTTTCGGCGAAGAGCTTCCATGTCGACAAGCCCCGAAACGTAATGCGAAACACGTGCGTTCTATACATTAGTATCGCTAGCCAATGGAAACGCTGGAGGCGTAATTGAGACGATTCGGCCACATTTAAACTTACCAATCAGTATGCACTAGCACGACATTTTGGTGACACGGCAGATCTGAATTTGGAACCTGCAGCATTGGATGGGCGGGCCAGCCAGCGCCTACCGCACACTCTTATTCCAAAATGCTGGGACATGAAGTTATTCGTAAAAATCAGAAAGGAGAAAAACAAAAAGCTATCCCTGTAACAGGCCGTTCATGCCCATAAGGTTGTGAGACGTCGAGGGTCCCATATTTTCTACACAATCGGCTCATAGATGGTGGTGAAGTTGTTAGCCTTACGCTCCGTCCGCCCTTTATCCCTGGATAAAGATTTCTGGCACTCATTTCTGTTAGGGGCTGAGTCGAACCCAGATCCATAATGCGGCTGAAGGATTAGGTAAACTTAAAAAAAAAAACAGCATCGGGACTCGAACCCACGACCTTCCGGCTTGTAGTATTGTGCCCCCCATATTCACGGCGGAATAAGCAAAGCAAGACCACCGTGAAGCAGGCAGTACACACACTGGTTTCTTGCTTTGCTTATTCTCATACCCTGAAGATGTATGCTACGTGTTCCTCCGAAACGCCGGTTGATTTTCAACGGACCACATGGCGCTGTATCCCAGATATCTGCGGTTAGCGTGTAACGTGCCATGACAATCTAATGGTACCGTCAGACGTACTGAAAGCACAGGCAGCTGTGTACCACCTGCCGTAACATTCCGCAGGTCAGGGTTATGTACGTCTCTCGCGCGCGCTCAGTTGCTTAATTATATCGAAAGTCCATTATTTACGGGGAAACCGTATCGGGCATTACACTATGCTTCGTATTTCTCTACAACTTTTATTTCAAATATTTTTCGCTCCGATATATATTTAGTGGGCCGCCTCTGTGGTCTAGTGGTCATAGTTCCTGGCTACAGATCCAGAGGTCCGGCGCTACCAGATTTTCTGAGAAATAGTGGGTCTGGAACGGGGTCCACTCAGCCTCGTGAAGATAATTGTGGAGCTATTTCAAGGAAATAGCGGTTCCGGTATAGAAAACCGAGATTAACGGCCGTGGGGATCCGTTGCGCTGACCACGCGACACCCTCCATCCGCTAAAGTTGGCACTAACTTCGCCAACAAGTGGCGGTCACTCGGTCGGTATACGTCGCTTGCGGACTAAAACTACGTAGTTAGTTATATGTTTAGTGAGTTGCACGATGTGCGCTCAGCATGGCATGTTATGTATCAGTCAATGTTACGTCATACGGTATTAATTTACACGAAATATCTCGCGCGTGTGTATTGTATCATATTTGGGGGCAAGCGGTGGCGGTAGCTGGTTCAGGCACTACGCTACTAGCCGGAAGGTGGCGGGTTCTATTCCCGATGAGGCCAATGGATTTTTCAATTTATCTAATCCTTCCAGCCGCACTATGGCCATAAGGTCAGCTCAGCCTATAACATAAATAAGCACGAGGTATCTTCCTGGGAGTAAAGGACGGCCGGCGCGTCAGGCTGACAACCTCGCCGCCATCTGTGAGTCGACTGTCTAGAGAACGTGGGAGCCTCGACGTCTCATAATCCTATGGTCATTCACGGCCTGTTACAGGGATAGCTTTATATTTTTTAATATCACATTTCATGACAATCCTTTCAAAGGTTCTTGAGTTGTTACACGGGGAGGGACGATCAGATATGACAGATATTGTGAAGCTGAGAGACGCATTTCTGCGACTTTTCGTTGCGAACATGTCAGCAGAGTTAATTTGTGCTTTTGGCATGATTCCCAGAATAAGTAGCTATTACTGTGCAATGTTTCAGAAACCTGTTCTCACTGTAATCAGGTTAAAATGCAAAGGCTGGCCACATTACACGGAGCTAATTGCCGTCTCCAGACTGGAAATGCAGGACTAAAGAAACGTAAAGAGTAATTCTGCTATTAATTCCCTCATACTCCCGTTCCCATTTAATTTTCCTTCATTTCTTTTTTCTCGCCCTCCGTCTTCATCCATCTACTTTGTCACCCCCCTTTTGTGTTCCTTAATTTTCTTCATATTCTCCTCCATGCTTTGTTCATTTTCATCTTCTCTTCGCCTCCGTTATCTCCTTCCGCATTCTCCTTCTTGTCAGGGCAAGCTCAGTTGTGGGCAGAGGATCTGAAACCGTTAACCAGAACGAAACGCTGGCAAAACGCCCAGTAGCGTGTACACGTCAACTCAGTAATCCGCGGGCTCATCACCAACGCGACGCACTCCTTTATCGTAACACACACCTTACTGCTGTTTCGCCTGTATGACAGACCTCACATCACTGGATTCTCCCAGCTCTGGGGCCCATCCAATTGTTACCGGGGCCTCTTTCCCCGGAGATAAACAGGCCGGGGCCCATGTCTTCATAGCACAGTGTTTAAGTAATTAAGAACAGGGACCACTTTACCTTTACCTTTTTATTCCGTGGACCTGACAGATCTCTTTGTGACTTGTCCTCTTCCCTACGTAGTGCCCTTCATTTGTGTCAGTGTTAATGAAACTAAACTGATCCTGCCATCTCTTGACAATTTGGGGTACCCAGGCCGTGCCATAACTCATGCGGTTAGTGCCGGCTACCTATCATAGCGGCCCGGGTTCGATCCCAGGTCAAGTCACGTGGGATTTGTTGTTGGCAAAGTGGAACTGTTGCAGGTTTTCTCCTACTACTTCGGTTTCCCCTGCCAATTCTCATTCCACTGACTGCTCCATACTTATCATCTATCATACGGGATTGGTACGGTACGCCAAAGACTGTCCGAAATACTTAGTGGACTGTCTCACCCCACCCGAAGGAATACAATAATAATAAAAAAAGGGCTATCCATTTACAATGTACCATAAGCTGATATGAAAATATGAAACTTATAAGAACTGTCTGATCGCGAAGAATGAGAAGGTAGAAACAAAGATTACTATCGCAACCTACACTTCCCTGGCTCATGCTCACCAGGAAGACGACGTTGAAGATATACAGAACATACTTGAGGAAGCTGACGCTGTTACAATCCGAGTCACGTGATTTCCGGGTCGCCATTTTATGATGCCATGTGCTGTACAGTTAAAACATGGTGCGCCTGCAAGAGAATGGAGAAGTATTAATTACAATATGGCAATTTGTTTCTTTATTTGTTCATACTTTAATTAAAGAGAATGAAACTGTTATAGCTCTTCATCTCCTGACCAAACTCCTGTAGAACTGATTCAAACAGGAGGTGAAATATTACGTTCTGAGATCCATAAACTCATTAATTCTGATTTGAGATATGGAAGAAATGTCTAATCATTGGAAGGAATCTATTATTGTACCAATTTATAAAATTGACTGTAGTTAATTATCGAGGAATATCACTGTTATCAACTTCATACAAAACTGTATCCAGTATTTCTCTCACAGTTAAGTTCACACGCGAGATATAGCCAAAGTCGTCCCTGTGCTTAATTGGTTAAGCACTACACCATCAAGTAACATGGCTCTGTGGAGGTATTGCTCCAACATTCTTGACCTAGGCACTAGATGGAAGTATGGTCAGCTTCAAACCCCGGCCGCTTTACTCTCGGTACCCATTGGATATGAGGTTCGGTGGGTCCCAGAACCGGTATAGGTGCTACGGAGACCTTCAATATCGTAGTATACAACGTCATATGGCTCATGTGTTGACTGGTGAATGATACGATAGCAAGCGGTCTGGAGGGACTGAGTAAAACCTGTCGGGACCGAGAGCACCAGAATACCATGCAGAAATGGTGCACACTCACAAGTGATGTTGGGTCCCTTATTAGCAGCTACAACTAATAAGTCAGTTTATATATGTATATATATATATATTGGATTTTAGGTTACCTTAGTGGTAACCATGAAGAAATCTCACAGAGTATGTTTGTGTGTTTCGTAAAGTAATCAGAATAAACAGCGGTTATTTCACTACACAGCACTGACCTGCTGGTCTTTATAATGGTGATGCAGTGTGTTTTCTGTGGAAACTTATTCTTAAATGTGTAACTCATCAGAGGCCTCGACCAATGTCTGGATCACCCGAACCGGACATTGTGACCCGACGGTAGAGAAGCATAAAAAAGAAAAATACTGTGACGTGATGCAGTGTGACTATAGCCAGGGCTTAGACTGGTAATCAAATTTACTTACCACTTATGGAACGTAACTACAAATAACTAAGACAGTCTCACTCAGTTACACACCTAACTACAGCATACATGAATTCTTAAGTTTTCACTAGCCGTTGCTTGGTAGCGGCTTCCAACGGCGGAAGTTCCATTACGAGAGAGCCTTGAGATGTCAGTTAAAAGAGTAGGAAGTTGGTGTGAGATGGCCGCCAGCCTACGAGGACGTGATCCAGGAAGCAGAGGAACGTCCAATGTTGGAAGACGTTACCAAGCAACGTGTCTGAGAACATAAGTCTGTGTGTGATTTGTAAAGAGCAGTCACGAGTTGTGTGTCAAAGTGTCCAATAAATCTTATTACCAATCCAAACCCAGTCTACAGTCACTCGAATACGTAACAATATATTATAGTACATTACGTACTTACTCATGGAGCTGAGCCCTTCTGGAGGAGCTGCCAATTCTGCAGCTAGACAAGAATTTCCCAGAATTTTGCGGAACCCGAAGGTTCATTACCGTGTTCAAAAGAGCCCTCCACTGGTCTATCAAACCAATCCATAACATCCCATCCTATAAGATCCATTTTAATACTGTCCACCCACCTACGCCTTGGTCTTCCCAGTGGTCTCTTTCCTTCTGGCTTTCCCACCAATATCCTATATGCATTCCTCGTATCCCCCATTCGTGCTACATGCCCTGCCCACCTCATCCTCCTTTACTTGATCATTCTAATTATACTTGGAGAAGAGTACAGGTTATGAAGCTCCTGTCACTTCATCTCTCTTCACATTACAGTACATGCACACATAATCAAGGCATTCAGTAGGGGCTATATAATACACCATCAGATAGCAACTGGAATACATAAATAAACAACGCAGCTACGGCACTCTTGTGATGTTAGAACAGGGCGCAAGCGTTCTAGAGCCCCCAACGCTTCTCTACTGCCGACTGTTTGCTCCCAAATTAAACAGGCAAATAGGCGTCGCTATTGCGTCACATGTGCAAGAAAGAGCGACTCAGAGAACATGACATCAGTCGAGACAAAACTAAACAGCTAGAATACGTTTAACTCTCGAAACTACAGCAATGGTCACGTGTTTTAAAATAACTCTTCCTTTGCGCACCGAGTGTTTGTGTGTTCGCTACGCCGGTTACTTCCCGATTGCTGCCAGTAGCTATATCACATAGCGTCAAACGGTATGGTGACATAATGAATTCGAAAGGAAGGATATAGAAGGAAGCGGGCGTGGAGTAACCGAGGTACTATGATACAAGCCGGAAGGTTGCGGGTTTCATTCCCGATGAGATCACTGGATTTTTCAATTGAACTAATCCTTCCAGCCGCATTATGGCCCTTGGATCGACTCAGCCTCTAAGACAAATAAGTACCAGGAATCTTTCTGGGCGCAAAGAGCGGCCGGGGCTTAAGGCTGATGTCATCGCCATCTGTGTGCCGACTGTACAGAAAATTGGGGAGCCTCGCCCTCACAACCCTATGGGACTCTACAGCCTGTTATAGGAACAGCTTTACCTTTTGCTTTATTACCTCGGGATTTGCCTTCAGGGACTGACAAAACCCACTAAAACCCTCAATTAGGATCGCCGGTGCCCTGGCAAAGATTCGAACTAAGCATTCCCAGAACCGAAATTTAGAGCGCTGCCTCTATGTCAGCATATCCGCTGGTTTGGTATGATTTTTACAATAGCGCTTATCCAACCCCCCCCCTTCCTCCCACTTTGCACTCCATACTTCTCGTGCCGTCCTCCCACACGCCGAAGAGGACATGCCTCTTTGCTTCTCTGCATAACCACGAACATTGCACTCTCAATCTTATTATCCCTTCGCATTCTCTACCTTCACTTGCAGAACGAGCGGGCGCTGCCTGTGTGACTTCAGTGCCGGAAATTCCCTTCCAGCCCCCCCCTCCCGCCGCAGCATTACAACAGTGCAATCTTTTGCTATCCCCCCTCTACTTTACCTTTAATTCTGATCAGGTTTCAAAGGCCTCAGCAGCGTAAATGTCTACAGCAAGGAAACGCACTGAAACATACGCTGGCAACTGGTTAGCTCCGTGATAATGCGTCCAGTCTGATAAGTGGGGTTCCACCGTTTCGGTGGAAAATACTGTATCTATCTTCAGGGCAGAAATCAGTCAAATATGGGTAAGTGTAATCTGTTCCTCTTTCTCCTATCACACAGGATAACTGTCCTTCGCGTATCTTTTCGTTTCACCTTCTATGCAACAAAGCATTTCGCTAATTTAACTCACCCCTAGCCTGAAGATGGAAACAGTTTGTTGCTTCGAAAAGTTCGTAACTGCCTACCAGACTACACGGTGTCATAACCAACAATTCAACAATATGTGACGGCAGTGAGAACTTCAAAATGTTACCAGACTATACGGTGTCATAACCAACAATTCTACAATATGTCACAGCAGTGAAACTTCAAAATTCGTATCATGCGTCATCAGAATTTTCACAATCCAAAGCAGCTGAATCAATGTCGTTAAATCATATAGGAATCCGAATCCTACAGACATAGCAACAGATTTGCTGGCATATACAAAATTCTGTACGACCTTCGAAGGATGACCGGCGACTTCTGTAATCCGCGGTTACCACATGCATCACGTGACGCTTCATCTGCAGCTCGCAACAGAGCAACAAATTCATCACAGCTCAAAGAGTTACCGATGCTCATAGGTCGCCTTGGAATTACGTCATCTGTTCCTGCGATACTATCATACAGCATGCGTGCAACAGTGGGCCAAGGGCACGACTAAGAACACAAGCTCAATCGAATGTGCAAGGCTAAATACGGCCAGTTACGTCACACTATGAGCACGGAGTGTACCGTGTGCCAGGCATCTATGTACTTCCTTCTGGGATGCCAGGCCCTGTAGTAAAGTCCACCGACGTTTCGGAGGAACCAGTTCAATCCATCTTCATAATCTAACTGTAACCAAACACACTAACCAACAAGTGCAGGCACAGCCAGACTGCCTGTTTCTTTCTGTTTACTCTCCGATCCTGAAAATGGAGGCAGTAGGTGCTTCCGAAACGCGTGTAAACTTCTAATCACCACCCTAAATCTGTTCGGAGTGCCGACCAAAATGATTAACCCCACGTGTACTATATCCATCCTTGTGCGTAGGTAGCTTGGTCACTACAGCTATGAGCAAGGGAGCCGTTAAAAATAACATCTAGGATTTAACGCCGTGTAGTCCGTTGAAATTCGTCCAATGTTTCTGAGGAACATGTCGCCTCCATCTTCAGGGTTCCTCCGAAATGTCGGGTCAGTTTCAATGGACTACACAGCGTTACATCCCTGAAGATACAACACTTCATAACCAACGCTACGAGGACCTCAGATCCTACAAGCAACATTCACTTCGTCACGTGGCGAAGCAAAAAGTTGCCCTAAAGACAAAATTAAAAATCAGAACACAAATAAAAGGAAAATTTAATTAAATAAGTTGTGATGTAAATAAATAAGAAAATATAACTGCAAAGCCTTCATTTAAGAACTATAAAAAGACAATATATTTTTCCATCAACAGATGACTCAGAAGTTTTGCTTGTTTTTGAACGTAATAATGTAGGTTTGAAGAAGATGTCAAGTTTTTTCTAAACAGGCAAGTGACTCATCTGCCTTCTTAAATTCCATACGTCTTTTAAAGTATATACTCAACTGTGAAGCTAATTCTTCATATTTCGATCCGGATTGGCAAGCGTTTACTGTATAGCTGTACCCAAGCACGGTTTAGTCCAGTCAGTGAGAATTCATATATGCACTTTCGATAAGTACAGCTGTGTAGCCGGAGTAGCATTTCGTAAATTTTTCATGACTGTACAGGAACACTCTATACATACAATGGGTATAAGAGCGGCTGTAAAGCTATTTGCTTCCTTCTGCCACCGTACAGTCTGGCAGGAACATGGAATTATG